AGGAAATCCCGCTGTCACATGAATAATAAATACCTTGGAAGTATATTGATCTAAAATTCTATATTAGTTGATGATGGTGAAGTCGGATGCCTTAGACTTTTAATTCTTGGTGTTAATCAAAGTTAATTTAGTTTCTCTTCAATTAGTTTAGTTATTTACTTTATTCAAATCATTTAATTTCAATTGTTCAAATAAAATTAGAATTTATTAATTTATTAATTTTGGTACTTAATTAGTCTACGGTCTCTGTGGGACGATACTCTATTTTCATTATTATATTACTTGAACAGACTAGTACACTTGCTAGAGTGGAATTAGCTCATCAATATAAGACAAAATAAATAATTAATTGTATTGAAAATTAAAGTGAAATTTAAAATATCACTTTAGGCACCTAAATTCAATTTACTCTCCCCTAAAAGAATGGAGTTCTAACTTTTTACCAATAACTATATTGTACAATAGTTTCAATATTATAACTAAAATAATTTCAATTAATTCATGATACAATTTAAAGTAAAATTGTTAAGTTAAATACTTACTCCAATTTCTTGAGCCTCATCATTACAATATATAGGCAATTGGTCTTTTCTTTTTTCTTTGTACTGCCTTCTACTGGTGTAGACCTTAGGAAATGTTAGTGGACGACCCTCGGGGTTTGCTTGTTGCTGTAAAGAAAAAAAAAGAAGAGAAAATATTAAAATCAATATAAAATAAATTATAAATCATAATTCATTAATTGTTCATTAAAAATATGTTAACTTTTATACCATTTTCTTTCTATAAACATTAACATCCATTGAATCGCTGGTATGCGTCACCCTCGATCCTTTTACTCCATTAGCTCTTGCAGAACTTGACCTTCTCAAATGACTCTCATCTTGTAAAAGTGGTGAAGACATATATTTTCTTAATTAATAATATGATAAAAAAATTAAACATTACAATTGAAAATTAAAAAATAAATAATAATAAACACATGAATTTACTCCATTATCTCAGTCCATAAATGAACAAGTCTCGTCCATAACTTTGGATTCATATATGGAGGCTTAACTTGAAAGTTTCTCTTTGCACACTTTGCTTTCAACTCACTAACTGCATGCTTGAACTTGATCCTTACTGTCACATTGCATAAATCGTTTACAATCTTATTAATTGCAGGATCCAATTCATATGTTTGCTGAAATAATAGAAATATAAATAAATAAATAATTTAATAACAAAAATATTAATGATAATAACAAAAAAAGATTTCAAATTACTTAAAATTTGAAGATAGAAATTGAAAATATCTAATTTGTAGATAGAGATTAAGTGTTTAGGGCGTACACTAAATATATTCCAATACATGTCTCGATGCTCATGAAGGACCTGTCCCCACGATGTGTAAGCATCTGGGAGATTCTCCCGCAACTGGACCACAATCTGTTGTCTAACTTGTTGTGGCAAACCACAATACTCATCTAGCTCTAATGGGATCTTCGTCCCATTTATAGGCATCTGCTCGGGCTTAGCTTGCCCTTGTCCCTGTCTCTACTGGGGGGTAGCCACAGGTGTATCCTCATCACTGGGAGACTCAGCCTGTATATCAGCATCTGAAGCTGGAGTCTCCAGAACCATATCAGTAGGAACCTCCTCCTGAACTTGTCTCTGGGGGTCAAATGGGTTTGGCCGTTGTAGCGGTTGGGTGGATTCAACAGCCTCCATGCAGCGAAAACTACAGCAATTCACTGTAAAAAAAAATATGACAAATGCAAAATAAATCATTAATACAAGTAATTTAAATGCAATAAATAAATTACTATTAATATCACAATAAAAATTAAAATAGTTTTAATTTCTATAGATAAGCAAATAATAATCAAATTATATTTTAGTTGAAT